GATGCTGCAATAAAAGAAGATGGGAGCAGAAGGAATCTTTTTACAAACAATTAAAGCAATATATACTCAACAGAAGGCAAGGATCAAAATCAATGGTCAAGTAACTGAAAATATTCAAACTGAGCAAGGCACAAGACAGAGATGTCCACTCTCCTTGTTATTATTTATTCTAACATTAGAACTCTTAAATAGACAAATAAGAGGAAATGCTGAAATTAAAGGTCTTAGAATTAGGGGAGAATTATTTAAGCTACAAACATATTCTGATGATTTAGCAATTATACTAGAAAACCCTCTAGTTAGCTTGGAAGAACTGATGAGAACTATAAAATCACTATTGGGCCCAGAAAAAGACAGGAGTTTAGGGGGAAACTGAGTACAGTATATAGCGAAGTCAGTGCCTGCCGGAATCCTGTTGAGGAAATTTGAGGTCCAGACGATGATGAAATCTTCTGATCCATAGGAGTAGGAAGGAGGGTTTAGGTTAGTAGTTTTTTTTTCCTGGTTGTTAGTTTTTATATTTATCTTTTTGTCCTATTGATTATATGTTAAATGGTTAAAAAAATAAAAATATTTTTTTAAAAAAATCTGAAAATGGCCACTGCCAGTCCCACCACTGGGATCAGGACTGGTAGTAGACATTTTCAGATATTAAAGGATCTCCCAGCCCATCCTGAGGTTCCCAATCTTCCCCAGGTCAAAAGAGAGCCTTGGAATCAGAGTGTGGTGATAGAAGAGTTTAAACTGAACATTAAAGTCCATGACAGATGACATCATCAGCTTTTACAGGTTCCTGGCCATAGAACACTTGTTAGCAACCGCGGACCTTTTAAAACTCCCTTATGCAAGATTACCCAATTATGAAAATGTTATTTTTATTGGGGTTCAGCCTGGGCCTCCCTTTAAGGTTCAGTGTAGAAGCCAGGTTTCAATCTCTCTTAATGTATAAACCTATTGCACCTCATTTTAACAGGATTTTAATAGGATAGTCTATTGTCCTCTACTTAGAGCCACTGAGGGTCAAACAACACATATCCTAACAAGAAAATTGAGAGGATAAAGGCATAATTAGTCTCACCTCCTGTTATGTTTTTGAAATCCAGATATTTCAAAGTACTGTAGTTAAGGCTGCAGTTCACCTAGACAAACAGTATGTTGACTAGGATTTTCTTTTAAAAGTTCACCTTATGAAAGTTGGAGGTTTTAAATAGCATCCTTAGAAGTTTACTACAACATTGTTCAATTCAATTAAACTGAGTGTAGGCAAATGTAATTACAGAATCAAAGCATGTAAATGGCACAGTGATTGCTGTAATTAGGAACCCAAATAGCTGGTTGTCAATTTGTCTTGAAACCTGAGTTTGTATAGAACATGATGGAAATATGACTGCAAGCAGGAATAGGGATTTTTTTTTAGCTGACATAAAGAGCTAGAGTTTGTATACTAATGAGTAGAATGTAGGAGCAATTTCTGACAAACAAGCCGATTGCCTTAATATCAGTCGGTATTATAGATACCAGATGCTTATATTGCACAATTGGTTCAGGTAATTTCTTTCTCATGTAACACAAAATAGTCCTAAACCCAAATTAGGTCTGTCTCTGGATCCAAGCATATTTTCTATTATTCTTCAAGTGTAGGAAGAAGATCTTGCAGATAGCTAGCTACAAGCTAACAAGCAAGTCTATCCTGGTTGTTGGGATGAGCCAGATAACATACTACCTGAAATTCGATCGTGTTTTTAACGCACATGGCAGGAAAACAGTGTAACATACACTTGCTTCTAGCTGGCAATCTATGGGTCCTCATTGTGATTCTCAAACACATGCCAAGCCAGTGCACATGCCCACTTCTGGGAATCAGTGTTGACTCATTAACTGTCAGTTAGAAACAAATGCATGCTACAGTTTTTCTTCCACATGCATAAAAAAGCAGCATGATTTCAGCCATTCTGTCCTTGTTTGGGGGGGGGGGGAACAGCAGCAGGGCTTGAATGAAGATACCTTCTAGCAGCAAACTGTTGGGTAAGAGCATCTTCTATCCTCCCTACCATCCCAATTTTCTCTCTTTTATGTCACCTCCATGTTGGGTTGAGGCTCTGGATAAGTATATTGTAATAGTGGTAGAAAACTAGTGATAATAATTTGTATGGTATATAATTATTTTTAATAAATCCGTGGGAGGGGTGGCTCTGGGAACCTTAACAGCTCACCATATAAAATATACATTGGATTTTTTTTCCATTTAAGAGATGAGTTATTTCCCCAAAGATTTTGTTCTGGACTGGAGAGGAATGGAGGAATTTGTAGGACAGTTGGAATATTGTGTCCAGAGCTTTTTTTGGGTGTTCATTGGCTATGGTTTGTGTCAGGAATGGAGACAATGAGAGGGATCATGGAAGCAGCACTGTCTTAGAGTTGCAACCTTGAATAAGCTAATGTGAGAAAAGCACAATGCATACAGTACTAGCCTCCAATTTTCATTTCTAGTACAACAGTGAGGGAGAGCCCTTAGATCAGGTCTTACCAATTTCAGCTTTCTGTGTAAGGCTGTAAAGAACTTTCTGTAAAGCTTTCTGTAAAGAACAAAACAATTGTAAACCTACAAAACTCTTTCCTAAACTTATGTGGAGAATGATAGCATGGCTCCTATCTTCTATGTGTAGATAGAAGGGCAATTACTACTGTAACTTGAGTAATATATGCAGGAATGTAGCATAGGCAGAAATATGCAGTTGGAATATGCTTCTCGTGGCATCTGAAAGCTTTAGAGCCTCATTTTGTGAAATACTGGGCACCTAAAGCCCCTTCATTCCAGTGCCCTATAGATAGGGCTGAACCACTAAAAGTGTGTGAGACCTTCCTCCAAGTCACCTAAAATAAAATAAAAACATATTTTTATAATTGCCTGAGAGTGTGATTTGACATCTTCCTTCTGTGCTGTTACACATTTTTTCTTTTTCATACATGTGAATAGTAAAATTATTGCTTTAATATAACTTTGTACCAACTCATTTTTTTATAGTGGCACTGATGTCTTTGTAGGGTGTATTGCTTCAGCCAGGACACAAATTACCCATAAGCCCCAGACACATCTTTTCTAAGTTCATGCTTCCATGGAATGTTGAGAAGTTGTGTGAATGCACTGGTAGTCTTTATTTCTGCAAGAAACTGGTGCAACTACAGGCAGAAGCCATTTGACACTGCCTTTGTTGTCACTGTTTGATCACAGCATATTATCATAATGATTTTAGGATTAAAGGACTGTGGATGTTTTAAAGACAGGTAAGATGTAGATCTTGAATTAAAATAAAATAGACTTATGGACTCACTTCCAAGAAGGAGAAGTACTTCATAGATGTGGGGTCTCTGAACACATGCAAAGCCCAAGAATTTACAATCACTAAAAAAAGTATCAAGCTTTTCACTCAAAATTCCACTAGGTCCCCCCCCCTTTTTTGTGCAACTGAACTAAGAACAAAAAAAGTTTTGCAGTAGTTGCTGTAAAAAACAAGGTCAGAAAATCTGGCTGAGCATCTATAAATCAGCCCAAGTCAGAAGTCCCAGATTTGTATTCCTGGATTGAACAGGTGGTTGGACTTGATGGCCTATTCTATGATTCTGTTATTGAGGCAATGCTACTGATGAGTCACTCTCAAATTGGCCTTCTCACCCACACTAGACATTGTTCCAAGACCTCTATTCAGAGCACGTTACCATAGTCTCTTGAGACTGAAGTATGCCTACATAACTGATGAGTATTGAATCATGTCAAGCAGGAGCTCACCATGAAAAACAATACACTGATTTTAGTTTGAAATTATATCTTGAGAACTCTTGAGCTTTTTCCAGTGAAGGATAAAAATAAAACTGAAGCTCATCGTAACTACAAATGCAAATCTCCGTTTACACCTTTCAGTAATTAACTTATTACATGGGAACAGTGCAGGGACTCTAACTACAGTGGTGCCTCGCTTAACAATTACCTCGTTAAAGGATGAAACCACTTTACGATGAAGTTTTTGCGATCGCTACTGCGATCGCAAAATGATGTTCCTATGGGGAAAATTCACTTAACGATGATCAGTTCCCTCCTTCAGGAGCTGATTTTACGCTAGACATCGATTTTAAAACAGCTGATCGGCGGCTCTAAAATGGCTGCCTGCTGTGCAAAATGGCTCCCCGCTGTGCTTTAGGATGGATTCCTCGCTTTACAGGCACCTGAAAATGGCCGCCCTATGGAGGATCTTCGCAAAACGAGCAGGTATTTCGCCCATTGGAACACATTGAACCGGTTTTCAATGCATTTCAATGGTTTTTTTAATTTCGCTTGACAAGGATTTCGCTTAACAGCGATTTGAACGGAACGAATTTTCCTCATCAAGCGAGGCACCACTGTACTTGTATTTCAGATAGGACAGCATAATACAGTTTCTCAAAATGCCCTTGGAAAAGAGAGTCGTCCTTTCTTACTTCCAAAGTCACCACCTATCAAGGTTTTGGTGTGGTTCCATTCCACAGCTGTTCCCATAAACTGTGATAGTTTGTCACGGACAGTTACGTTTACATAGAAGAATTAATCTTCAATATCTGGCGTTAATTTTAACTGTAGTTTTAAAAAAACTTATTGTGTAGTTCACAAGGAAAATCTGAGCAGATTTATCTTGGCTCACATGAGGAAAAAAACAGCTACACACATTTATGCAGATACTGAACATATTGGCATACAAAAGAACAGACATGTTGCCAGTCTTAATAATATGCAGCCAACCACTACTAGCACATTACAAACTGGACCTTCCTGCAAATACTTTTATTCAGGAATGACCATCTGGCCTTCTCACCCAGCTACCATCTGCACAAATACTGTCTGTCACCACAGAAACAAGATTAGTACAGAGGTGAGCCATCATCTATATCAGCTGGAGCTGTTCAGAGACGACATCCACCCACATGCCAATCTGGCCACCTGAATGAAGTCTTGAGAGAGAAACCAAAAGTGGTGCTCACATATTTACTGGCAGTAGTTCAGTAGTTGATGGATATTGTAAAGAAGAGGACAGAACAACGATGGGTGACTTACAGACCAAACTGAACTTAATTTCTTGCGATGACTTGACACTGAGGAACATTGGGGAGATTTCATTAACCTCACATCAAAGAGGTTTGACCATCAAGAGATGTATCATCCCACAGCAACCTTGCTATGGCAATTGAGATATGATGAGCTTGACACAGATACTGTACTTCTAAGTTCATTCTCATATTCCCAGAGAATTTCTTTCCATGACATTGTAATACAGAAACATTTCTACTTTAGCTGCACTAGACTCATCTGAATGACACACCCAATCAAAAGAGAACCAGAGAAATATCATGAACAGCCCATTTATGGATAATATCCCTCAGAACCTTGAGCTACTATTCCTTATGATAAGAAGAGATATCACCTTAGAGTAAGTAGATATTACCCCTTAAGATAGTAAGGACAACTATGTACCAATATGTCTATTCTCTGAAATGAAGCAATTTCCTACCACTTCAGAAAACATCCTGCACAACAGCAAGCAGAAATAGCATTCACAACAACACCCGAAGTAGCCCACTCTCCTGTTTGGGAGGAACTGGTCCTCTACTGTCCTTCTAAAATACCCAATGCTCACATGCAAGAATAGTCTGGTTTTCTTTCCAGAAGGCACTTATAAATGTCATGATTCATGTGTACAAGCAACTCACATACACAAGCAAAGCCATCATGCATTTTGCTGGGTTTTTTAATGTTGTTCATTCTTTTATATGACCATATGCTTTTGTTGCATGATCATGTCACCACCACACTGTTCACAAAGGAGAACTAGGAAAGCTCCACTTTTTCAGTATATTACACATTAAAGAAGATTTGAATATCGATCTGTGGCTGCATCGCAATTTTGGGCTGCCTGTTTGGGGGACATATGTTTGGATAAACTATTTGCTGTAACTTATTTTAAGACAGATAAGGTATGTCTTGGTCCCCACCACTCTCTGCTGAGTGACACTCTGCAACCTCCATCATATAGGTTAACCCTACAGGAGTGTTTGGGAATAAAATCATCTAGGCTCAATATATGTTGGACCATTGTCATCCGAGCCTACAGTTCTGTGGTAGCATTTTATGGACACCCTTATCCTTAACATAATGGAGCAAATCCTGATGTATAGTTATGTTAGCAAAAACAAAATGGTGTAATCTGCAGTGGCCAATTGCTACTAAATTATGGGAAACTGCTCAGATTCCTGGTCACATGCTCAGCCACACGACTGGAATGCAATGAGGAATCCATACAGAGACTCATTAATTAGTAACAATTGGCCAGTGCCATTTCCCTTCCACCAGTGTAAGAATGCAACAGGATTTTGATCATTTACTCATTAATCTGAATGGGACTGACATCTTACTAAGTAGTTTTTGGAGAACAGCTAAGTATATAATCAGAATACACAGTGGAGAATAAAAAATGGTAATGCTAGACTTAGAATTGGTCTATTGTACTTGTTTGCTCCTGAATGTTTATAAATGTAACCAAAATATCACACTCAGTCACAATTGTGAGGTTACTTTCATAGCAAGAAGCATCATACTATCTACTTTGAATTCATCGAGGAGTTTCATATTGCTAAAAAACAATACAAAAAACAACAGAGGTGGGAAACCAATGCCGGGGCTGTATTAATCCAGATTATTATGGGGCTACTTGCAGCTGCAAAGTCCAGATCCAGAATGGCAACCTTATTTTCTTTTTCTGAGAACTAGCTGAAAAGAAAATAAACAAGCTTCTTTTCTAGGTCAGCAACTGACAGACCGAGGAGACTTAGCCTGAGCAGACTTCATGTGACCAATGAACACCACCTTGAAGAAGGGGCCTGACCGGGAACTGGACTGGTATCTGCACTTGTGTTGAAAACTGTCTGAAACTGTTTGGTCAAACAGAAGAGGAAAGGTTGGCGGATGGAATAAAACAGAGTAAAGAACATCAGAGTTTACCCCTTCATGTGCAGCTACCAGAAAGGAAGATTATTTACTTGAAAGAATTAGATATTAGCATTAAATTATACTGGCAATGATTTGCAGTTACTTAAGACACAATTTTGCTCCACCAGAGGAAAGAAATGGGACAATGTCCCTAAGTGAAGTTGCCTGCTAACTTCCCAAAGCAGAGAAATAATGCAGCCACCATCTCCCAGCAGATCACAGAACTATGGCCACTACTTTAAAACATTTCCTCCTGCTCTTCTCTATGATAATGCACAAGATGGGGCTCCGGGGATCTCCTTTTCCTGTGCCAGCACAGATAGTGGTATGCACCATCTGCCCTTTTCTTTTCCCATCACACCCCCCATGAATTTGCTTCTTTTCCTGGAAACTAGCAGGAAAAGGGTGTCATTCTGTCCTTTTGGGATAAAGGTGGAGGCATGCAGAAAAAGCTTTAGTACTGGTTTGAAACAGACTAGCTAGCCAAACCCCATGAACAACAATCTGAACAGGAATCAGTGTTGGCACTGTTATTTTGGCAAAGGTTATTCTGCTGGTTCTGGTCTCAAATAAACTACTCTGAATCTATTTAGCACCTTCCAAACCAAGTAATAATTAAAGCCCTCTAAAGACAGGAAAGCCATATAGTCAAGTTGTTGACAGCAATTTTAAAAAAAAACCCATGCTGCCACTTGGAAAAGGAAAGAATTGCAGACTACAAGCCATATGGGGGAAAAAAATTCAGTTTATGTCCTCTATGCTTAATTGATTGAAGAGCAGGAATCCCCATCCTTGGGCACATGTACTACCTTGTGAGTCCTGAACATTATCCCTCTTATCAAATGTCATTGTAGCAATTCCTCCCAACAGATAGGTCTAGAAAAAACTTCCCTTTCCAGCCATAAGTCATAATTCATTTGGAAATCTTCAGGTAGCTCCACACATTGCCCCAGAACACTTTGCAAACAGTTATCCACAGGCAGAAAATCAGGGTTGTTATGTGCTCGGTCATAGCGCCGTGAGTTGAACCGCTCTATGCTGGCACGCAGAGCACACTCTTCAGCTTGGAAGTCCCATGGACGTGCATCTAGATCTGCAGAAGTCAGGAAGCAGACAATCAACCAAAGTGCCCAAACAACCTGTCATACGCTCACTATGAAAAACTATACTTCTCAGATTGACATGCAAATACCTCTTCTAGAAACCTCAGGTTTTACACTTTCATAGAATGACACAAAAGATATGAAAAATCAAGACAAGGAGCCGTGGTTTCACCAACTGGTATTTCGGCCATACATATCAATGAGTGATGGCAATCTTGTAAAAGAGTGCTTGTGATTTCTGAGTAAAATGACACGGCCAACAAGAACATAGGTTAGGACCACCTTTCTGTCAGTTATTACAACGAAGATTTCTGCCATGGAAACCTGAGGTAGCCTTGTAGGTGTTTTTCTTCTTCAATAGAGGGAGTAGGCATTTTAAACAGACATGTCTCCTTGGAAAGGGCAATATGTCCTTGTGGTCACTGAAGATGAGAAATGTCTTCCTCAACTTGCTGTATTCAGAGTAATTGGGAAGGTTGCATACACTCTGAACAATTACAGAAGTGATCTGCTAACAGGAAAGGAGTGCTTCAAGAGAAATGGCTCGATGTAGGAACTGAAGAAGCTGCATGAAAGATTTGGAAAGAAGAGAACAAAGAGACCCAGAACATACCATTGCCATAAGCCCAGTCATCATTTAGGCGATGCCGTACTTTCTGGTAGATTGCTGACATGGTCTTCATATTGCTCTTCCTCCACTGTCTCCCCAAGTATTTTGTCTGCACCTTTAGAAGCTTCAAAACATAGAGTTGCATCATAGCTTGCTTCACTTTAAGGGCTCGTTTTAAAATGGGAGCAGACTTGAATACTACCAGCATCTGGAAAGGCAGGATAAAGGAAAGTGAGTTACTGAAAGTTGCAGCTGTAATTCCATCAGAAACACTTTGCCCAAGAGGTGGGAGGTATATATTCTGATGTAGGCTTATGTGGGTGGTTTCTACTCACCATGGTTCTAGAATGTTTCCACTTCGTTAATTTATTCAATATTCTAAGTAAATTAATGCAAGAAAAAAGGTTTCGCCAACAAAACTGATTGTTGTCTCCAGCCTCCTGTAAGAAAAAAATCCAAAGAAAACATGATCAAGGAAGGAAACACTGCACATAGAAGTGCCTCTGATAATATTATCTCCATCCCCTCATGTTGTACATCCTATTCTAGGTAAAGGGTATAGATGGCTTAGCTTACCAGACTCTCTGCAGTCAGCTCAGGTAGTTCATGGACCACACAGTATGGATAATCCAACACAGAGATGCTGAAATATATAAGGACACCCCAAAGAGATGAGCCACCCAGCCAAGTATTTGGTCTCCAATAATGGCTGAAACTGGTTGGTTCTGATTTGTTAGAAACCTGATGATTGTGGCATCCTCTGTTCTTTAGCCTCAGAGGATCAAGGGGCTTACTGTCTGCACATCTTTCCAGATTTGTGTATCCAACACCCTTTACTACTACCAGAAAAAGATGAACTAAACACTTACTTATATTTCCATGCTCTAGGGAAATGTTATTAGTGTTGTTCTCTAAAACACATGGACTTAGTATCGCTCTGTGATGCTCAGATATTTAATTTCTAAGGTATCAAATCAAACAGACCAGAAATAGCATAGATCAAGATGGAAGCTCCTCCTGCAGCATGAAACAACTTCTTTTCTGCAAATTAAATGCTAGAGGAGAACCAGGTGTTTTAAAACTTCCAAAAAAGTCACATTTTAGGAGACACCATGCCAATGGCATTCCCTCTTACCTGTTCTTGGCTGTGATATATGACATGATGTTTTGATTGAAGAACTTCAATATAAGCGGGATGCAGTTAGCGAACACAAGATGCTGGGCCATATATTCAAACTAGCGCAGGAATGAGAAACAATAAGGCACATTAAAAAAATCAGATGATTTTAAACCTAGCTCTTTCTTCCAATGCTGCTGACTCATACTTACCTGGTAGACATGATTTAGCTTAAAATGTTTGAGCAGTAACAGTAGAACAGCAGAAATGGCCTTTACAATTATCTCCTTGTGTCTGTTCACATCAACTCCCAGCTTCATACTTTGCAACACAGTTGTTCTGAAATCCGAAAGCAGCAATGTTAGCTTTTGCAGCACATTAAGGTGACTACAGTGCAATAGCTTTCCCAACCCTGAAATGGGTTTTATTTATATTTTATTATTGAAAACAAAATCAAAATACATTTTTAAAAAGATTATATTTTAATACATTTCACATTTAAGTTGTGTTTCATGGTCTTTATCCTTTTCCATATAACAGCCTCTTAAAGATCACTATTATTCCTGGTTTACATATGGATAATGAAGACAGAGGTTCTCATTAAATTGATTTGGGGAAGGCATAGAGAAAACCGGCGAAGTTTTCTCACCAGTTTTCTCTGTGCCTTCCCCAAATCAATTTAATGCATCCACATAATGAAAATTTTAAGGAACTATGCCAACAAAAAGGAGTCAAAGGTTTGCTATGCTGAACAAATATGAAGAAAAAACAAAATACTACTTAATGCACTGGTTTTGAAGGGCAGAACAATCTAACCAGAATCCAGTCCATCATTTACTGCTCCAAACAGATTTTCTAAAAGTCCCACCCAAGAGATGATGACTGCATTATTCACACACCAATATTCAGGGAAATAAGTCATGTACTGTACTAAGGCAAACTGACTTCAATGAGTCTTCCAGTGAAGACTGCACCTAGGTAATCCCTTGTTTCTAAGCCGCCGGATTTATTTTCCTTAAATTCCAGAACACACACATCAGTTGCACAATTTTAAAAACCAAGCTTCCACCACTGAAAAGGTATTCAGAATCTTCAAGTGGCAGTTAATTTTGGTTATTTTTGCTACTGTAGTCATTATTTTGATATGCTTTGGTACCTATATAATTTGAAGGGCAGATATTTCTGGAAAAATAACCAGCAATATGTCAGAGAAAGTCAAGTAAACATCTATTCCTCTCATCTCTTCCATTCTTTAAATGTACCACTTGCTCCTCCCTTAAGAATGAGACTCACGGCATTTCCTCCGGCAAAACATCTGCTAGGATATTAATGGAATCAGTCTTGGCTTTGGAGGTGGGAGCTGCAGCCAGTAGAATTTTCAGCAAGGCAATCTGTGGACCAAAGTTTAGCTGAATGAGGTAGCGAAGACTTTTAAAATGCCCAAACGTATGAAAGAAGGGGAGACATTCAAACATATAGGCAGGAAACAAACACGAAGGATGAAAAGGGTACTGTTGTTTTTTACTTATTCACAAATAGATGATAACAAGAGAAAAATAATTTGCACAAACCAACAGTGATATGAAAACCAAGACTGAATATTTCTGCTTCCTTGAAGATGGTAGGGAAGACTGAGTGCAATACAATTAAAGAAACAGAGTATCAATTTTGGATCATAGGAGTGAATATACATTAAGAGAGGCTATGACTCACCATATATTGGGGCAGGCTAGGAAGCAGACCCTGGTACAAGATTTCTGCAGGAACTTGCTCAACCTCCTCTTCCCCCTGTTAGCACAAGCAGACTGTTACAATACTTTTTCATGTCAGTCTACATATTTTGTGCACACAGGCAAAACTCCACTTCAATACAGAAAGTCTTCCACAGGCTGACAACAGGTGCAAAACATTATAAGACTAAAAGGACTAGATCCAGAATGTCTCTTTGGAAGAGCTACTTCTATTTGCAGACGCTATGGAGATCCAGATGAGGGTCTCACTGGGAAGTGATCTGGGTGGAAAAAAGAGTTTCTACTTGTTCTCCCTTCCTTCTCTCAGACATTTCTCAAACATTCCCTACAACTGAGTTGAGCAATTTTTAAAGTGATGTACATGGATGAAGAAATTGGGAAAAACTATCCCTGTGTTACTCCAGCCAGTGCTCCCCATGAGAGAAGAACTCCAGATTTAAGCCAAGGCTATGCTCAAGGGGAGGGCAGATGCTACCCAATTTGGGGTCTGGATACTGGTAAAACAGCAACTCAACCACATGGCTCCTTCAGGGATGAAGCTGGTAGACACGATGAAGGAAGATAGGAAAAAGGAAGGGAGGCACATGCAGACAATAAAGTTAGCCAAAGATTCAGCTCAAATTTAGAAATTCAGACATCTTTTCCTTCTCTTCTTGTTTCTTTGTATAAATGACTTTTTTATACCATTAGTTCCCTCCTGATTGGGCATTCCTCTAATCATACTTACCCCAGACAGGGGGGAACGCAAATATTCCTCTTCCATTTGTATTTGAATTTCTGCAATAGATGTATATTTGTGCTATAAAGTTACCAAAAAAAAAAAAAAGGAAATTAATTCATTATATTAGCAACAAAACAGATTTCAAACATTTTCCTAGCTGGGATTATATTTTTTTTATATCCGGGGTGACACTGAAAATCAGCAGCAGTGTGAGAGGTTTTGTAGACACACAAATTCAAATGCCTAAACAGCAGATACTTACCAGCTTCAGAGTTTTAATACTCTCATGAATGGGTCTGGGCAACCCCACTACTGTGTTGGTGTCACTAAAAAGAAAGGAAGAAAACCAGGCAGCATATATTACATCATATAAAAAATTAAAATTTGATATACTGATAAAATTACAACTGCACAATAATCAACTTGGATCAATACATTTCACTCTTACTTTCTTCCCTACTATCTGAAAAACATTTTAAACCCTAACATTAGGAACTTGAAGCAAGCAGAAAAGGAATCTTATTACACTGGTGCCTCGCTTGATGAGGATAATCCGTTCCAGCAAAATTACTGTAGAACGAAATCCTCGTCAAGCGAAATGAAAAAGCCCATTGAAATGCACTGAAAACCGGTTCAATGCGTTCCAATGGGTGAAATACCTCAGCATCCAGCGAAGATCCTCCATAGGGTGGCCATTTTCTGGTGCCTGTAATACGAGGAATCCATCCTAAAACACAGCGAGGAGTCATTTTACACAGCGGGGAGCCATTTTGAAAGCCTGACGATCAGCTGTAAAGATTGTCGTTAAGCGAAAAATCGGTTCCCGAAGCAGGGAACCAACTGGCGTTAAGCAATTTTTGCCTATTAAAACAACGCAAAAGCAATAGCAAAAACTTCATTGTTAAGCAATTTCCTTGTCTAACGAGGTAATCATCAAGCGAGGCACCACTGTACACATAAAATGCTTCTGTAAAATGCTTCTGTTAAAATTAAGCACTATTGCATATTTACACAAGAATCAGGGTTCTTTTTACACTTGGGAGCACAATCATTATATGGATTTAACATAAAGTCTCTGCATTGTGGCTTCCAACTGACTTAACAGGTTTTGTCCATTCCTATTAATGATCTTGTATGAGCAAAACGTCTCATTTCCAAGTTTGAGTCCATTTATGTAGTCCTACAATGCGCAAGTGTCCTTGCCCGTTCTCTTCACCTGCCCACAGCAGTCTCATTATTTAAAATGCCAAATAATGTCATATTAAAAAATGTATGTGCTTTTATGGGTTTGTGATGTGCCATGAGAGTTCAGGAAAAAGTAAAATGAAGAGGAACCCCTTTCTAGTGGGATGAACAGATATTATGATCAATATGAGAACAGAAACTGATGGTGTGTGGCCAGTTAAACAGGACAGGTTGCTAGGCATGGCAAATTTGTATTTCTTGGACTTCAGACTCCAGAATTCATCAGAAACTTCCTCAGCCAGAATTCTGGCTGCTCTGGCCAAAAAATACAAGTTGACAGAGAAGCTTTCAAACTTTTTTGATTATTCATAAATGGACTGGTGAGCGTGGAGCCATGATCATTTGCCTGTGAAGCAGTAGGAAGTGGTTAAGCTCCATACAGGTAGTGAGGGGTTATGACAGAGAGCCTAACAGAGAGAGAGAGATTCAAAGAATCACCACTCTCTCATCTCTCATGACTCCCATGGAACTGAGCTACTCTCAGCCATTTCTTCTTTATTCACAGGCAAACAATCATGGTTCTGCATTTACCAGTCCATGTTTAAGTTATGAAAAGTTTTAAAATTCTTCTGTTGATTTGGATTTCATGGCTGGAGCTTCCTAAATTCTGACTCAGGGAATTCTTGGTGAATTCTCAAAGCTGCAGTGCAACAAAAACAAAACTACCTTGCCTACAAGATACAATACTATAGAGCAGCGGTCCCCAACCTTTTTGGAACCGCAGACTGGTTGGGGGAGGCTCCGTGAGGGTGTGTGTGTGGTACCCCTGCACTTGAAGATGGGCAAGTCACGTGTGCATCCGTACAAGCATGATCCACCCCCGTGCATTCGCGTGAGCGCGATGCCCCCCCACGAGCACAACTTGCCCATTATGCGTGCGTGGGGGGGGGGCAGAGATCCACGGACCAGCACCGGGTTGCGGACCAAGGACCCCTGCTGTAGAGCATAGGGAGGGAGGGGGAGAAGAAAGAAAGAAAGAAAGAAAGAAAGAAAGAAAGAAAGAAAGAAAGAAAGAAAGAAAGAAAGAAAGAAAGAACACACAAACAGATACAAAAAAAGAAAACAAAACAACTCTAGCAAAATCGAAACAAAGTCTCCTACCTGGTATTTTTCATATTGATGTGGGTATCAACTTCCACCAGGCTTATAACATGACTAATAATTAGCAATGCTGATTATTAGTCCAAACATCTGAAGGGAACCAGCTTCAGGCCGCCGTTTTAGTAGGAACTTTGTGTGGTCAAGTGCTCGAAGTATGTGTGGCCAAGGGCTCGACGCAGGCTGGGCGAAATATAAAAAAACCCAAAGTGTGCTGCTTATGTACTGCCCCATAGCACAGCTCTCTCTGGGCAGTTTACAATTTAATTATGCAGACTACTGTACACATTCCCCCCCTCCCCTCCAGCAAGCTGGGTACTCAGTTTACCAACCTCAGAAGGAAGGAAGGCTGAGTGGACCTCAAGCCAGCTGCTAGAATCAAACACTCACCGTAATGACTGTAATACTACAGTTTAACCACTGTGCCACTCCTCACATTGCCATTAGTGGAAAGCCCTCCATTAAAGCTAAGAGAACTACGTATTTAACTGACCTCTCTCTACACTCTCCCACCCACCCCATTGCAATTAGGCCTGGCAAAAACCTCTGGCTTAAACAGAAGGCTCCTTCCACTACAATGTGGAGTGGAGTGGGTGTAACTGAGTTTAGGGGTGAGAAGGCAATATGTGAGAGGGTTAACCTTATCCTCTCAGCTGCAACGCTTTCAAAATTGCTCTGCATCCAACTGGCTGATGTAGCAAAAGTCTTTAACAAATATTAATGGAATACTGTTTTTAAAACTTACTTCATAGACGGCAGAAGGAAGAAAGCCATGGATGGTGAGATGGCAAATCTTTATGGGATAGATCTGGCTTACATGTTTCCTACCCATACATTATAGATGCTCCTCACTATTTCTGCCATATTTTATCCAACACACAGCACAGGGGAAACACTGTATATATTTTTTACATAAACAGCAAGAGTAACAATCTTCCAATCTCATTATTTCCAGTTCTCCATACTATATCAATTTGCATTGTTCTGCATCAAGTCTCCAAATGTCATTGTGATTATGTCAACATAAGAGACCAGGCACACCCTTTATTGCCATTATCACCCACAAGTGTCTGTCCAGCACATTAGCCAAATATTCCAGCACTGTTTTGGCAAAATGGTTTAAAAATAACATTCCTGTGTATGTACTCACCGGACCTTTGGAGCCCAAGGCAAACCTTTTGGGCAGGTCAATCGGTCAGTTGGAGGATGTTGGATAGGAGGGGGCATCACTTCATCTCTTTCAAGAGGAAATGTCTCTCCTTCAAGACTATTGTCATCATCATTCTCTTCCTCCTCTTCACGGGAGTCATCTGCTTTGTAAGGATCACGCTCATTGAAGGCATCTAGATTGTCCTGCTTAATAAGAGCCTAAAAAGATAAATACGCTGTGAGGGACAAATTACCTTCTGAGAAAATAACATTGGCATTTCTGAGGGGTGGGAAATGATATCCTTGCAGTAGGTAGTGCTTCCCACTCATTTTGATAGGCAGGACCTTACAGCCAATCTTTTTAAAGCTCCTAGTTGCCTCTACCTGTGAGGATAATCCAGGGCTACAGTTTCATCTCTAAGCCTTAAACCTGATACACCAAAGAAAACACAGATCGGGAAATACCCGACCACAGAACGTTGGGCCAGGGGGAGCCAACTCAAATCAAAACTACTTTCAACAGGATCTAATACAGAGAGAGCCTAGGTGGGAAAGGATGTCCTTCTCCCCTGTATAAAAGGGACACGTTATGATAAGGGCCAACATTACCTTTTCCTGGCTGGGTGAGGGAGGTCTTCCTCACAGTGGGACTTACCCAAGCTTGCAGTCACAAGGCAGTCAAAAAAGCTGTTGGCTAATCTGCTGTAGCACAAGGTGAGGCCATTTCCCTCTACTGGGGAACCACCTATATCCAAAGGACACCTCCACAGATGCACAAGGATATAACGTACAATGTCTTACAATGAAAGACTGAGTTTTCCAAGCCACAGCCCAGCAAATACCTGGGAGAGGGGCCCACATGTCAAATAGGGAAGAAGTGTTGCCATGTCTAGTAGAAGGTGCAGTGATACCCCCAGGCCCAATCTGCCTGAGGTCATGCAGCACGAAGCTATGCAAGCCTGAATGCATTTGCGTACACTTTTCTTCCCCCTGTTCCGAGACTGAAATGAAATAAGCAACAATTAAAAGAACCTAAACTCCCTGATTCTTTTCAGGTATGTTTTATGGTCTTCCTGACAACCAGAGTATGCCATTCTTTGCTGAAGAATGTGTGAGGTTTCAGACTAAAAAAATGTAGCACATCTTCCTGGGCTATGTGAAAGATGGAATTAACCTTTGGAATGAATGACAGAGCCAAGCAAAGGACTATCAACTCTGAGCTTTGCATCAAGGTGGAGGAAGGAACTTGACTGATGCGCTGGGTTGTCTTCACCACTAGAAAAGATTGGCTAAAAGCTTCTGCCTATTAGCGAGAGGGACAAGGGAGACAAAGGATGTTGCCACCCCACACTCTCAGTAGAAAAATACAGCTCTTTCTAGACAGGGGAAGATTACTCCTGGGCTCTAGGCACCAACTAGGAGACATTCAGGCTTGCAGGAGGCAGCATCTTGTCCAGTGGAATCAGCTAATTCTCTCCCTCAACACCTGCCCCCAGTCTCAGTGACAGAACATCCCCACAAGCTACAATAAAAATGGGTACACCTACCTTGTGCTCCCGCCGACCCCGTTTCTGTTGCTGCTCAATCAAATCAGAAGCAGATGCTGGAGGAGAGGCAGCCCTCATGTTGCGAATCACTTTGATGCTATCTTCAGGAAGTGGGGGAAGTCCTAGCATCTCCCGTTTCTCTGCTTTCATGTCCTGAAGTTCCTCAAAGCCTCCAAGAGTGCACTGCACAGGAATGTAAACACAGGCTGCTCACTTACACAACATCTTTGATCATTCATAATGCACTGTTTAAAAAGTGATTTGCTATTGGTAAACCAAAAAAGAGAATGAGCTACAGAGGCTTAATTACAGTCACAAACAAAAAGTGATTTGCTATTGGTAAACCAAAAGAGAGAGAGAATAAGCTACAGAGGCTTAATTACAATCAGAAAAACACATTCAGTCCTTCAGAGAACCATTCGTGAAGATGAGAAGACCGAGCAAATACAGCACAGTGTAGTCCAAGGACCCTGGCATTTTATGAATGATTCTTTATAGTCTGTTTTCATTGAAAACCTCCTTAAAATAATAAAGTGAAGAATACTCACTAGGTTTGAAGTTTAGAACTCCACATTCCTAGTGATCACCTCTACTCAAAACATTTTGCTCTTCCTTCTGTTCCTTCTTCACGTAAGGTTTCTAGCTAAATTTCCACTCAGGAAGTTCAGACAGAGGCTTGCTTCACTTGAATGATGCAACTACCACTGGGGATAGATAGGCCTTTTATCTTTAAAATATCTTTTGTATTCACTCCTTCCTTGTGGGATTACTGTCTGCTGAGCTCTGACCTCTATCTTCAATTGCTGCTTAGCTGCTGTGCCTCCATCTTCAATCCTTTATATTTTTGCCTTTTCTTGATTTTTAGGGGGAGCCCCCACTGTCATTTATTTGACTTATTTTTGCTTTTGCCTTGCTTGCCTGCTGCTGGACTCAAAGAACAAAGCAAAAGGCAACAAGTGATATGGGGGAGAGAAATCTCCACACACCCCAGACATTTTAGTTGTGCTGATGTTAATTTTGTTATTTCAAAGCACATTGCAAATAAGGGCTCTATAGCTAGGCTAATCCTACAGCTAACATTTAAGTCTGCTTTTCTCTGTTGTGAATTCAGATCTTTAAACAACTAAAGCACATCAATCCTTTGCAGATAAATTTAGTTCCTACTAGAAGAGCAGTCTAAGCTCAATCCTCTAAATCAGTGCTCCCCAACCTTTTGCGAACCGCGGACCGGTTGGTGGGGTGGGGATGGGGGCGTTGTCCATGTGTGGGTGGGTGGGGCACCTGTGCACATATGGGTGGCACACCCATGCTCTAAGTACCACTTGTTCATGGACGAGAGCTTCTTACCAAAACAGTTTTCCAAAGGAGAAGCAACACCTTCTTCATAGGGAAGTGTGGGGCATGGCCACTGCAGAACTTGGTCACCATTCCAAACAGCATCACAGAAAATGGCTCATTGTTGTACAGAGGTGCCCCTGAAAGGTGATACATTCATAACAGGAAATAGACATGTTACTTCTAAATACTTGCGTTTTGTATTTCAGCCATATTCTCTGCACTCAATCCACTACTGTGTCCAGGTTATCTTAAGGACTTAAATCCTGTACATTGTTATGCAGGCAAACAGCAAAAGGTGTAACATTCACTCACTTCCAGCTGCCAATTAAAGAGTCACCACTGCATTATGGGGGATACCTTTGTCTGCTGGTTTGGCGCATATTCAAGATTGCTAGTGGAGACTCTTTAATTACTGGGTGGAAAAGAGTTAATATTATGCAGTTTGCCTTCCACCTGCATAACAAAGCAACTACCATTATATTGCCCATAACCACCACTTGCTCTTTTTGTTTCTTATGCATACCCTCTTTAAATCAACTAAAACCTAAACCTGTATTTATAGTTTTGTTCATTTAGCTAAAAAAAGCTTTCTCTCTAAATCTATACATTGTTTTATTACAATAAAGTAATTTCATCTTCCTGGTCTATTGACACTTATTTATTATCAGGTAGCCTTATGACTGTACATGGGCAACAACAGAAACCATACCTAATTCTGCTCTGAAGGTCTGCCTCATTGCCTTCCACTCAGGCTTGTCTCCTTCACACTCCTGACGGACAGTCTCCACAATGAGATACATAATATTCAGCAGCACCCTTCAAACAAATGACAAAGGAGGAGCAGATTAGGGGGGGGAACTGTAACAACAAAAGCCAACATTTGACTCCTCCTCCCAGTTTATTACTTCCAAGTTGGTAGCTATCTCCAAGAAAAATACATTCATTCTTAAATCTTTGACACAAACATCTCCTGGATCAACTAGAAATTTCCATGTTGTAATTCTACAACAGATGAGATAAACATTATGGGCACACATTCTAGTACTGGCTAGTGTATAGTGTTTCTTCTCATCATTCTCTATTCTTTCCTGCTTTATATCTAGATCTCTGTCTTGATGCATTCTTACCTGTCACCATCTCAATCCAAGCATGGGATACTATATTAAATCTAAACATATGAGTTTTCATGACAGGAAAATACCAAAAATGCTTATATCACCATATATAAGTAGAGCAGAGGCTGTAAGAAAAGGAAAGAAGGGAAGCATATTTGCAAATGTATGCCCTTCATACAGTAGTAGAGAATATTCTGCTCATCAGTACTCAGGTTAACATTCATTACCTCAGGTCTGTGCTGTCAGCCAGGGAAATAGCAGGTTTCCTTACTGCACTGCTGCAGGCAGCACTGTTACTGGAAAGGAAGAAAGAAGGAAGGAAAATATGGCTAGACTATACCAGCACCAAACTGAGGAAACATTAACTCTATAAATTTCGCCAAAGGAACATTTTTCCTGTTGTAGCTGCGCCTCACAATACCAGAGTATAGACCTCAAAGGAAGCAGAAGTATCTTTTCCTTGAATATCTGTGTGAGCACCCAGAACCTGCAATTGTCATGTTTAAATTAGACTAAGTTTCCCTGTGGGAAAAGTGTTAAAAGATATCCTTGTCCAGAAACTGAGGCACTTTTTGTGCAGGAGATTAGATCCCCTCATCAAGGCTTCCTATTCAGGGACTTCAAAAACTCAGGAGTACGTGCGATGTTTATATTCTTCTCCCAGGGGAAATGAAAAAACTATTGGCACCACAGGTGGCCGAGTCCTTTGGAACCTCCCCTCCAGAGCCAGCTTGGGCCACCTACTGGGCTTCACATGGCATGCATACCCTACATCGGTAATATCTCGCCAATTGTGTAAGTTGTTCAGCTGGCACTTCCCCACCTCCCTGCGGTGCTGACGCTCAGCAGCTGAGTGGGGAGACTCATAATCCCACCTCCTCAACAGAGTGGTCAGCAGTGCAGGGAGGCAGGGAAGCGCCAGTTGAATTACTTCCACAATTGGTGCAATGCTACCAATGATGGATGCACACGGCATGCAAAGCTCAGTGAGTGGACCAGGCTGGTTCTTGGGGGGGGAGAGCAAACCTGTGCGGCACCTCTGGCACTGAGCTTTATTTTCGTATCCCCAGGGAGAAGAATATAAAACTCCCATAACTAATGGAGTTGGGAGATGTCTTCATGTACCCACTCTAAGATTAGTCCCATGACCTAAAACCACACTTTCCCACATGACAAGAGGGAAAAGACCACTGTGCTAATCAAGGCTAACTGCTACAGAAAAGGGAGAACTGCAGTCTATTTTCTGGGACCTCAAAATTGGCAGCCCAATCTTACTGCTATTCCTCAACTTTGCTATGGGAGCAGGGGCTGAGATGCAATATAATATATGAAGAGATGGAGAAGAGAGAATATGAGTTCTGATGTCTCAGCCCTGAACAGCCAACATCCAGATCTCCTACCATTCTGTAACATCCACAAACTGTGTACTTTTAGTATATTTTGTATTCCTCATATTGGATTCTCCCCACTGCAGTCAAAATTATTTTAGAATCCCTGTTCCTATTATCAAACCTAAACAAATCACTATTGTAACTGAGAAATAAGGTTTAGGAGACCAGCAAAAATACATTTCTTTCCACTAGAAATCATTCTGTCAACCTATGTTTCGATGTCCATGTTAACAGAATGAGTGGTGGTGGGGGACTTTGGAGGGTTATCATTCACCAGTTTACTAAAGGGACACCTCCAAAGGATCACTGCAATAAAAATATCCCAAAGCAAAAGGTAAAGATGTGAGTCAAGATGCTAATATAAGGAGCCATTTGTGCATGTGGTTTCGAGTTCCAGCAGGTATTCATCTTTTCAGTAATTCATATTTAGTTCCTCACCAGTAACTCACCAAAGTCATCTACAGAATTTACTGATTTTAGGTAACTTGCTTTCTTTTTCTTCTAAGTCAGACACCAGATAGATAAGAAAAAAGAACTGGTAGTGTCACCTGTTGCCTGAACTGCAGGGCAGGATGCTACTCTCAACAAAGGAGAGGCTTTCTATGAAACTGTATGAAAATTGGATAGATATCAGAATGAATCTAGCATCTCATTATCCTTCATAGGTTTAAAAATGTACCTCAGTGGAGAGGATCAAAACCAGGCTATTTAAACAGTCAACATTCTTTTCAGAGGCCTGACTCTGCAGTAAAATGGAACTTACTCAATTTCCATGTTCAAAAGCTCCACCAAAGCATTAAATGTGCCAACTTCAAGTAGAAGAAATATGTTGTAGCGTATCCAGGACTGTACTTCAGCTTCAGAGCTGCACTCATCAAATGTTCCTGTAACCAAAGAAATGGCTTATTTCAGCAGTGGTATGTTATAAAACCATCCTAATTTACCCACTATTTTACAGATCGGTTGCTCTGGTACATTCGAATCAATACATTTTGTCAACCTTCTATGCCTAAGGACAAGGATTCTCAGAATTCAAACACTAAAGGCCTCAGAAGCAACATGAAAACCATTGCATGGAATACCACTTTCTCATGGCATCTAAAAATCACATAGCAAACAACTGAAAGACAAAGTACAAGAGTGTTAAAAGATTTCACAGTGCTGTCTGAGCCCAGTCAAGCTTAAGAGTGCACCAACATCTCAAAATGCCTGCTTTGGAACTCATGTGAACAAATCCTGAAATAAACTGCACTAATGTATTATCGAAAGGCTTTCATGGCCGAGATCTGATGGTTGTTGTGGGTTTTTCAGGCTCTTTGGCTGTGTTCTGAAGGTTGTTCTTCCTAACGTTTTGCCAGTCTCTGTGGCTGGCATCTTCAGAGGACAGGAGTCAGAACTCTGTCTGTGCTCTGGTGCAGTTTGTTTGGATAGTTGAGTATTTACAGCTGTATGATCAGCTTTTGTCCTTTTCAGGAAATGGGCGATTGTGGTGATCAGTGTGTTTTTTGTTGTGGGTGTGTTGTTGTGATAAGGGGGAGAGATTATCTGTCAGTGTGATTGGTGGGTGTTGTTAGCTGGTGTTTTGTGTGCAATGATCACCGGTCCTTGTAGCTGGGTAGAGTTCATTGACCTTTTGCAGGCTGTATTTTTCAGTGCTGGGAGCCAGGTTTTGTTGAGTTTTAAACCTTTTTCTTTTTTGTTGAAACTCTGCTGGTGTTTGTGGATTTCAATGGCTTCCCTTTGCAGTCTAACATAATGATTGCTGGTTTTGTCCAGTTTTGAAATAGAATTTCATGTCCAGCTTGTTTTAGGGCATGTTCAGCTACTGCCAATGTTTCTGGTTGTTTTAGTCTGCAGAGTCTTTCATGTTATTTGATTCTGGTGTGGATGCTGTGTTTTGTGGTTCCAATATATACCTGCTTCACAATCACCCATCTCCTGAAAAGGACAAAAGCTGATGCTACAGCTATAAATACTCAAATGTATTGTGAAGCTATGTACTTCCAAATTTATCTCTGTATCTGGAGTGGCCTGAACTTAAATTAGACTGAAATAGAAATCTCTGAATTAGGTCCAGAACTGAATTAGGGACCTATTCCAAACTTAATTCCCATCAACAGAGAGTGTATAGATCAGATACTCTCACCTGATATCTTTACTAGGTATATTATAAAGATTACGTGACAAGTACAACATAATGCATCCATGTTATAACATCTACCTATGATATATTCAACTAGAATTGTAGAGAGGCCTGGCGGCAACAACATTTACTGCCCCTGTTGCTCCCAATGCTCAGGAACACTCTCGACAGAGAGGAATAATCACCACTACTGGTTCATTAAGAAACCCAGCCCCAAACATCTAACAAAAATGAAACCAATCAAGTCATTCAACTGCCATGCTGTATCAGTACAAAATGTAATAAGGTACATGTAATCAATTACTGTAACTTCACTTTGTTGGCTCTAATGATTTTTTTTTCTGATGCAGGGAAAAGAGATTCTTTCCATCAATTTGAGAATCTGCTCAATGTAAATATCACATTTAAAATATTCTATAGAGGTATTACATTGCAATTACCAGATATTTCATAACTGATAGTAACAAAGTTGTACCTTGTGCAACATAAAGAATGGCTCGGGCTACCTTGAGCCTTTTCTCCCGGGCAGTGACCTCAAGGCCATCAAGAAGCCTCATGGCATGTGTACGATGCTGATTGATGTCTAGTTCGGTCCATTTCTTATCCATCACTGTAAAACAAAGCAGTCTGATATGATTATGTTTTCTGAAGAGGCGATTGGGGTTATAAAACTGCTTAATCTTTCACAGTACAGTCATTAAAGAGAAATCAACAGACTGCAACTGCTGTACCAGCCAACAATGAAGTGACTAAACACATGATTAGAACCATCATCCATTTGTAATATGTGAAGATAGCCCTGTATCATAACCTCTATCCATGCGTTTGTAAAGTATGTGGAGCCTACGGGTGATGAGGGGTGTGTGCTGATCTCGCTCTCGCTCTCTACCACAGCTTTCAATATGTGAAAACCATGTGGTTAACATAAAATCAAAGTCCCACAACACAGACAAAAGCATATTTGATGCTAAAGTAACTGCTGTTCAATTTTGTCCCAAATACTAATATCTCACTACACTTCTAAATCACAAAACTGACCTACAGTGCACTTCCACAGCAGAAAGATTGTGAATTATTCTTACCGTGCAGCCTGAAATCTTCCTCAAAGCATTTTCGATTGAGCTGGAATTCAGGACCTTCCGTGTAGCTGTACAATTCTGCCAAGAGAGAACAGTGAATACAGTACTGGGTTGTATTGCATACTCAAATAGAGTATGATTTAAAGAATATGAGTAAGTTGCTGCCAACTTCAGTAACATTACTGATACTATGTGTCATAAAAACTAGATTAAAAGTCATAATGCTTGGTCTACAGAAAGTTATTTACCATATGGAAACCGATATTATGATTTCAGTTTACTGAAGCTCTGTCCCTGTAGGTTGCATACACCAGTAAAGCCCGAGTATCACCTTGCAAGCAGAGGCTGGTTTATACCTCATCAGTCTGGACAGAGTGGGTGGGCAACCTGTGGGGGGGTTAGATGACCACACAGCCAGCTCTTCAATCTACCGAGGGCACTGCATACCTTCCTGCCACTGAAATTCAGAGGTGCAGCAGCAACCACCCCTAGTTATTAAATGCAGCTTTAAATATTTTGGGTATCAGCAAAGACAGGGACGTGGTGGCACTGTGGGTTAAACTGCAGAAGCCTCTGTGCTGCAGGGTCAGAAGACCAGCAGTCATAAGATCGAACCCACGTGACAGAGTGAGCTCCCGTCGCTTGTCCCACCTCCTGCCAACCTAGCAGTTCGAAAGCATGTAAATGCAAGTAGATAAATAGGTATCACTATGGTGGGAAGGTAACGGTGTTCTGTGTCTAGTTGTGCTGGCCACGTGACCATGGAAACTACAGAAAAATGCTGGCTCTACAGCTTGGAGACAGGGATGAGCACTGCGCCCTAGAGTCGGACACGACTGGACTAAATGTCAAGGGGAACCTTTACCTAAAGACTGCACCCCTGCTCTCCTTTTCTCCACTTGTGGAGTCTCCAGTGGACTCAGCACCTTCCACAGACAAAGCAGTCTTATGAGTTATGAGTATCAATCCAAACCTATCTCCTATTAACTGAATATACAAAGTATTTAGTGAAGATGGAAAGCACAACCTATGACATCCGTAAGAAAGAACTATGAGCAGAAAGTTTTCATGTGGAAGCTACTTTCACACTGAAGAGCTTTCTTCAAAACAGTATAGCACTCCTTATGTATTTCCTCACAAAAATAAAATTAATAAGTTGAAAGCAACAATATAGAACACAGCAGTAGCAATTTCAACAGCTGTTTTTGTACCAAAGGTATTTAACTGTAGTCACATGACCATGTTCATTAAAGTGAACCATTTTCAAAAAATACTGAGATCCATTTCAGTCTGGCTTCAGGCCTGGTTATGGGACAGAGACTGCTTTGATTGGCTTGGTTGACAATCTACACTGGGAAATGGACAGAGGGAGTGTGTCTCTGTTGGTTCTGCTGGACCTCTCAGAGGCTTCAAAACCATCTACAGTGGTGCCTCACATTACGATGCTAATTCGTTCCAGCGAAATCGCTGTAGAACAAAAACGTCGTAATGCAAAATAAAAAAGCCTATAGAAACGCATGAAAACCCGATTAATGCGTTCCTATGGGCTTGAAACTCACCGTCCAGCAAAGATCCTCCATAGCGCAGCCATTTTCACTGCCCGTGCAGCAATGAATCCGTCCCAGAAAAGAGCGGGGAGCCTTTTTTTTTAACCTGGCGGCCATTTTGAAACCGCCGATCAGCTGGCCAAAAATCACTGGTTTGCGAGAATCAGTTCCCGAAGCAGGGAACCGATCATTGCAAAGCGAAATTCCCCCATTGAAACCATCGTAAAAAAAAAGTTTGTCGTGATGCGATTTCGTCGTTAAACGGGGCGCTCGTCTTGTGAGCCACCACTGTACCATGGTATCCTTTTGTGCCATCTCTCTGGGATGACACTTGGAGGCATGGTATTCCAGTGGCTCCAGTACTTCCTGGAGGGGAGAACCTAGAGATTGGTGCTTGGAGACTCCTGTCTGAAACCCTGCCCATTGGCCTGTGGCAACCCCTAGGGTTCTATTTTGTCCCTTATGCTATTTAATATCTACATGAAACTGCTGGGAGAGGTCATCCAGAGTTTTGGAGTTTGGTGTCACTAGTATGCAGATGACACCCAACTCTATCTCTCCTTGCCATCTACATCCAAGCAAGCTGCTTTGATTCTACATCAGTGCCTGGTATCACTACTGGACTGGATGAGGGCGAATAAACTGAAATTTAATCCAAGTAAGACTGAGGTTCCCCTGATAATCTGAAAGACAGATCAAGAACAGAGATTCAGCCTGTGCTGGATGGGGTTACGCTCCCTCTGAAAACACACATGCGCAGCTTTGGGGTGCTCATGGATTCATCTCTGAGCCTAGATGCCTGGGTTTCAGAAGTAGTCACAAGTGCCTTTACAGTTAACATTAGTGCATCAGCTATGCCTGTGTTTTCAGATGTATCATCTGGCCATGGTGACACATGTCCTAGTTACATCTCGGCTGGATTATTGTAACACACTCTATGTGAGGCTGCCTTTGGAAAGAGTTCAGAAACTCCAGAGGATCCAAAATGCCATAGCCAGATTGTTAACTGGGGCTCTTTACAGGGAACATATACTGTAACTCCCATTATGGCAGCTCTACTGACTACAGATACATTTTCCAGCACAACTCAAAGTTGTTAACCTACAAAGGCCGAAACTGCTAGGGTCCAAGGTATCTAAAAGACTGCATCTCCCTCTATGATCCTGCCCAGGCACTAAGATAATCAGAGGAGGCCTCATCTTTACTGTCTTTCCATAAGCAGGCAAAGACCTTTCTCTTCAAGCAGGCTTTATTTAGTGACTGTCTGTCTGAGAGGGGTTTTTGAATGAATTATTATGCTCTGTTGCTTTTAAACATGTTTTTAGCATTGATTTTATTTCCTGGTTTAATATAGTACTTGTTTAATTCCTTTTAAATATTTGTATACTTTGTTTTTTACTTTTAAATGGTTTTTTTAATATAGATTCTCTTTATAAGATGTTGCCATTGTCATCTTATAGTTTCTAGACCACAGCCCTTGCAATTTTTCTAAGTCAATATTGTACCCAAAATTTTTTGCCCATTGAACCATCGTTTCTTTGACCTGTTCACCCTCCAGTTTTAAATGTTTTTTTTTAAGTGATGTAAGCTGTCTTGGGTCCTTTAAGGAGAAAGGCGGGGTAAAATATTTTAAATGAATGAATGAATGAATGAATAAGACAACTGTGCCTGGGGAAGTGGAGTCTGATCCACAAAAACTCAAACTGAAACAAATATATTAGTCGTAAAGGTCAGGCAATATTTTATCCTTCGCTTCACCTCCTGCTTCACTTTGGTGAAATGAACCTCTTTCAGAATAAAAGCAAAGCAAAGTGTGCTGCTTTGCAATAATGCAAAATAGACTAAAAGGAGTCCATACTATACCTGACAGCTCAGCAGCCCATTTATCTGTGTCTGCATATTCAAACTCAAAGTCTGGTGACTCTGAATAGCCCTGAGAAAAGAGAAAAGTTTAAAAGAAAACCTTTACCCAGGCAAAATCTCCAGCAAAAGCAACAAGTGGGGACCATCCTGGTGAAGGGTGCTGCAGGACTCAAAAACTAGTTTCTGGTTGTGAGATTTTAGTGGTCTAATACATTAAGTCAGGCTCAGTATGGCTTAACTCTCAATATACAGTTTCTCTGTTACTATGGTAACCTAAGTCCTTAAATGAGAGCAGCAATCATCTTCTCCCTCAAACCTGCTTTGCCACATTGCTCAACAACTTGCTGTCAGGCGCCCCCAGAGAGGCTGCAGACTGCAACAATCATAGGCAATAATCTTCTCCAAAGCAAGCACCACTACATTCAACAGGACTTATTCCCAGGTGAAGATGTACAGGAAAACCTGCATTCTTACAGTCTTTTAATTCATTCAAAGATCAAGACAACGAGTACCTCCTATACTCGAAGACCGAGGAGGCAACGGACGCTTAATTATTTTCTTTTAAGAGGGAAGGTCTTTACGGAGGACGGTCAGAGAGACGATCTCGCTCACAAACAGATCACTCTGAAATTATCTGTGCTGCTAACAAGTTCCGCATAAAATAAAACCAGGGGGGCGGCCCTTGGGGTGGGGGCTCTCCAGTGTGGGCGGCCAAGGAAATGGCGTTACTCATCCAACCGGAGGCTTCTAAAAGCCGGTCCAGCCCCGCTTTATGTTTGGACAGGTGAATGGGGAGCCTTCCAACACCCTCGCAGCTCCCAGGGACTTAAAAGGGAGCGGGCAAGGACACGTCTCGCCGCCCCCGACGCCCTCCCACCCCCGAGCCCTTCGTCGCTCCGCCTGACCTCCGAATCCTTGCGTTGGTTGCGGTTGGGCTCCCGACCTTTTACCCCCGGCGCCGGCGGCGTTGTCAGACCGAGCCCTCCGCTCCGTTGTTTATTGTTGACAATTAGCAAGCCAGGACCTCCACCACCGCCCGGCTCCATCACGACGCGCCGGCAGCTCTCGCGTAAAGTGAGACGCAGAGACTTTAGAATCTCGCAGGAAACGTCGCCATATTGAGAGTGGCGGAAGGACTGCGGCTTCGTGAATGCGCCATATGCGGAGGCCGCTGTGGGAAAGAAGGCTTTTGAAAGCGGGCTGACAGCGACGATACGGCACCGCGGAGTCAAGGGGGCGGGGTTTCTTGTGTGGCGGCCATTTTGGTTGTGTCGCGCTACCTCGGAAACCGGCATTTCTTTACTTTGTGAAGCTTGTGAGATGGTTCCTAAAGCAGCAGATGTGTTACTTAGTGCCTCGGTCTATACAGTAATCAGTTTCTTTTCCCGTCACGTATATTCTCACACCCGGTGTAAGTGTAATGGTCTGTGTGTCTTCAAAATATTTATCTTCGCGTGAATGAAAACGAAGTTGGATAAATAGTCACAACATGTGACGTGAACCTCTTTGGCAAGAATATGATACTGGACTTTGGGTCCCGTACTGTTTGTCTTCAGTCTTCCCGAACAGCTATGTTTCCTTCTGCTAAGATGGGGTAGAATTTAACTGGTGCGATGAAACAAGTACCAGTATAAGAAAATATTTGTCTTAGTTTATTTGTTAGCCTTCGAAGTGCCTTCTGTTGGCAAGGTGAGAGACATCACCTTGCCAACAAAAGTCCGAATAGTCAAAGCTATGGTTTTTCCTGTCGTGATGTATGGAAGTGAGAGCTGGACCATAAAGAAAGCAGACCGCCGAAGAATTGATGCCTTTGAATTGTGGTGCTGGAGGAGGCTCTTGAGAATCCCCTGGACTGCAAGGAGAACAAACCTATCAGTTCTAAAGGAAATCAACCCTGAGTGCTCACTGGAAGGACAGATCCTGAAGCTGAGGCTCCAGTACTTTGGCCATCTCATGAGAAGAAAAGAGTCCTTGGAAAAAACCCTGATGTTAGGAAGGTGTGATGGCAAGAGGAGAAGGGGACGACCGAGGATGAGATGGCTGGACAGTGTCTGCGAAGCAACCAACATGAACCTGACACAACTCCGGGAGGCAGTAGAAGACAGGAGGGCCTGGCGTGCTCTGGTCCATGGGGTCACGAAGAGTCGGACACAACTAAACGACTAAACACACACACACACTTTGAAGTGCCACAAAAATGTTTCTAGTTCTATTAAATCGGACAAGAAAGTTGCACTTGTATTTTTTTGGTTTTCACAGTTTCTAAATAGAAAGCAAAAAGAGAGGACATTTATAATTTAGAATCTTGCAGGTTTCACATTTGTGTTATCAAAGGTGGCTGAATTACTAATTTCTTCAACTATCTTTTATCCGCCCCGGTGGGGTGGTGGTGGTGGTTAGCTTCCTTTAACATATTTACTTATGAAGAGATGCAGGAAGTCAGAAAAAAAGCAGCACAGCATAATATTTCTATCGTGGAGAATAAGATGCCTTTAGCTGTCCCATCTGTTGAGGTCTATTCCTAAAGCCTTCAGATCTCGCAGATATCCTTGTATCGCAGCCGTGGTCTCCCTCTGGGGCGATTTCCCTGCACTAATTCTCCATACAGGAGATCCTTTGGAATCCGACCATCAGCCGTTCTCACGACGTGCCCAAGCCAACGTAGACGTCGCTGTTTCAGTCATGTGTTCATGCTGAAAATTCCAGCTCGTTCTAGGACTATTGTGTTTGGAACTTGTCCTGCCAGGTGATACCAAAAATCCGTTGGAGGCAACGCATATGGAAGGTGTTCAGCTTCCTCTCCTGCCGTGCACAAAGGGTCCAGGACTCACTGCAGTATAGGAGTGTGATTAGGACACAGGCTCTATAGACCTGGATCTTCGTATGTGTCGTCAGCTTCTTATTGAGCCATACTCTCTTTGTGAGTCTAGAGAACATGGTAGCTGCTTTGCCAATGTGTTTATCCAGCTCGACATCCAGAGAGAGGGTGTCAGAGACGGTTGAGCCAAGGTACACAAAGTCATGAACAACCTTCAATTCTTGTGTGGAGACGGTAATAGAAGGAGGTGAGTCCACGCCCTGGCCCATGACTTGTGTTTTCTTCAGGCTTATTGTTAGTCCAAAGTCTTGGTAGGCCTTGCTGAAACCATTCATGAGTTGTTGGAGGTCTTCAGCAGAGTGGGCAACAATGGCTGCATCATCTGCGAAGAGGAAGTCCCGCATACATTTCAGTTGGACTTTGGTCTTCGCTCTCAATCTAGAGAGATCAAAGAGCTTTCCATCTGATCTAGTCTGGAGATAGACACCCTCGGTTGCAGTTCCAAAGGCAGCTGAAAATACACCTGAGAAAAATCTGATCAAATCTGAAGTACTGTAACTGCTACAGTAACACATTACATTAAGTTGTGCAGTTGTTCAAAATGGCACCCAATCCTATTATTTTCTGCTCCAATGTTTATAGATAAATAGCTTCTGAGAGTACAGCATCACTCCTTTTTTCCCTGCCAGTTGTCTGTCTACCCCTTCTCCACCTCCCCCGTTCACCATGCCCTTGCTTCTGTCTCAACACTGTTGTGTCTTCAGGCATACACTTTTATGACTCCATGTGCCCACGTGGAGGAGGACTGATTCCTTTTTTTACCCTGCATTTAAATTTCACATCCATAGAGGTGCATAAATGGTTTTTTAAAAAATTAAAAGGTGGCCAGGAGCATTATGTGATTTAGTGCCCATCTCCCACAATATACTGGATTAAAACAGGAAAACATGCTGCAACTTGGCCATGTGTTAAAACTGGGGTTGCACCTGTTCATAGCTAATCCACAACAAATACTCTCCCTGGTTTACTGTAATGGTGCAGTTGAAACCTATGAGAAGTTCCCAAGCAGGACATGAGCACTATAGTGTCTTTCTCATGATGGAGCCATGAGTTGTTGCACGTTCTTTATTCATAGAATCATATCATAGAATTGTCGTAGGGTTGGAAGGGACCTTGGATATCTTCTAGTCCAACCCCCTGCCCAAGGCAGGAGACCTCATACCATCCTGGACAGAAAGCTATCCAATATTTTCTTGAAAACCTCCAGCAATGGGGCACCCACAATATCAGGAGGCAAGCTGTTCCACTGCTTAATGGTTCTCACCACCAGGAAATTCCTTCTTGTTTCCAGGTTGGATCTCCCTCTGATGAGTTTCCACCCATTGGTTCTTGTCCTACCCTCAGGCGCAATAGAGAATTGATGCCCTCTTCCCTGTGGCAACCCTTCAAATACAGTACTAGAAAAATGCTTTCATGTCTCTCCTCAGTCTTCTCTTTGTTAAGCTAAACATACCTAGTTCTTTTAGCCATTCTTCATAGGATTTAGCCTCCAGTCCCCTTATCATCTTTGTTGCTCTTCTCTGCACCCCTTCCAGGGCCTCAGCATCTGTTTTGTATTGTGGTGACCAGACCTGGACACAGCACTCCAAGTTCAGCCTGACCAGCGTGATATAGAGTGGTACTATCACTTCCTGTGATCTTCATGCTGTCCCCCTGTTGATGCAGCCTAGGACTGTGTTGGCTTTCTTGCCAGCTGCAGCATACTGCTGACATCCTTAGGCAGTGGTCCACCAGGACACCTAAATCCTTTTCACTGGTACTACTGTTGAGCCAGCTACCATCCTGTACCTGTGCATCTGGTTTCTCTTGCCTAAGTGCAGGACCTTACTTTTCCCGCAACTGAACTGCATCTTATTGGATAGGGCCCAATGTTCAAGTCTGTCTAGATGTTTCTGAATGTTGAGTCTATCTTCCAAAGTATTAGTAGTTCCCCCTAGCTTTGTGTCATCAGCAAATTTGATGAGTGCTCCTTTGATGATTCCCCTAATCCAGGTCATTTATGAAGATGTTGGAAAGCACTGGGCCCAAGACAGAACCTTGCGGGTCCCCACTACACACTTCCTTCGACATAGATGTAGTTCCATTGAGGACCACATCTGGTAGTTGTGCTGTCTATCCCATTTTCTACCTTATGCAAATGTAGGTTGTGGTCTACCTTATCAAATCCCTTACTGAAGTCTTAGTACTGTATACTATATCCACTGTGTTTCCTTGGTCCACTAATTTAGTCACTTCATCAAAGAGGGCTATAAGATTTGTTTGGCATGACCTGTTCTTAACAAACCAATACTGGCTTCTAGTAATCACCTTGTTATTTCTAGGTGCTCACAAATCTGTTGCTTGATTATTTTTTCCAGGTTTTTCCCAGGTATTGATCTCAAGCTGATTGGCCTGCAGTTTCCTGGATCCACTCCCCCCCCCTTTTGAAGATTGGAACCACATCAGCTCTTTTCCAGTCCTCTGGCAGTTTGCCCACACTCCAGGACCTCTCGAAGATTTCATTCAGTGGTTCCGAGATCACATTTGCCAGTTCTTTTAGTACCCTGGGGTGTAAACCATCTGGTCCAGGAGACTTGAACTCATTCAAAGCAGCTAGCCACTTCCTTACATATTTTGACCTCCTTCACTCTCCTATCTCCCACAGTGCTGCTTTCGACAGAGTGGACAAATTTTTCCTTTAGCATAAATACAGATGCAAAAAAAGAAGAAGAAGAATTAAGCAGTTCTGCTTTCTCCCTGTTGCCTGTCACCTTGTCATTTTCTCCCACTAGTGGACCAACCATTTCCTTGACTTTCCTCTTGCTCCTTACATGTTGAAAGAAACTCTTTTTTGGTTATTTTTGGCATTTGTTGCAAGTCTTAGCTCATTTTGAGCCCTAGCCTTCCTGACTCTATCTTTGCAGATTTGAGCTATTTGCTGGTACAGTGGTGCCTTGACTTACGAACATCCCTACTTATGACCATTTCGAGTTACGACCAGCTCCAGCCGCCAAATTTTGCTTCAACTTGCGGTCGGATCTTCCAGTTACGAACAGAAAAAGGCAGGGAAAAAAGGCAGGAAATTCAAATTTCTAACTGTAGGTGTCAACGAGGTGTCAATTTCCGATGGGTCTTGGGGGTTTGTTTGTTTTTTTGTTCCCCCCCATTTCCTATGGGTCTTGCATGCTTCCCTTGCTTTTTCCTTTGTTCTCTTTGCATTTCCAAACTGCCCCTTTGTTCTCTGTGCATTTCTGAACTGCTCCCTTCTCGGCCGGAAGGGATTGTGTTTCCAATGAGTCTTGCAGTGATTTTTTTGGTGATTTTTTTCTTCTGCCAGAACAGATTAATTGCTTTTCAATGCATTTCAATGGGAAATGGTGCTTCGACTTATGACAGTTCGACTTACGGCCATCTTCTGGAACCAATTAAGTTTGTAAGTCGAGGCACCACTGTATTCTACTTATGAGCCCCTTTTTCATTTTTTAATACAGTGGTGTCTCGCTTTACGATTGCCCCGCATTACGATGAATCTGCTTTACGACGATCTTTTTGCGATCGCAATTGCTATCATAAAATGATGGTCTGAATGGGGGGGATTTTGCTTTGCGATGATCGGTTCCCTGCTTCAGGAATGAATTCTTCGCAAAATGATTATTTTTCAACAGCTGATTGGCGGTTTCAAAATGGCCGCCGGCTAAATAAAATGGCTCCCCGCTGTGTTTAGGGACGGATTCCTCGCTAGACAGGCACCGGAAATGGC